TTGGTCATTTAATCTCTGCATGGAGAAGAGAGTCTTACTCCATAGCTTTCATTGGCACGGCCACTCTCACTGAGCATGGGCTCTGTTATGGTTATATCTAGATGTCCCCCTAAAGCCTTATGCCCTCATAGGTGGTGCTTTTGGGAGATGACTAGATCATGAATGTGTGGTACCTATCACTAGATTAGTCTACTGACTGGTTTACAGCTAGATGTGAAGTTGGGAGGTGAAGCCTGGCAGGGAGAAGTGAGACACTGCAGGTATGGCCTGAAATGGCATATATCACCCCCATCTTTTGATCTCTTGCTGCTTCCTGTTGTCATTCCATGTACTTATCCCACTGGCATGCCCCCGTGCCATGCAGCCCTGTCTTGGAGTCAGCGGCTATGGACTGAAACCTCTACAAACTGTGAGCCAAATAAACCTCTCCTCCTTAACTTGTGGCTGTTGGGTAGCAATAAGAAAGTAACTAAGACAGGCTCTCCTGGACTGTCTTTTAGATGTCATCAAACACAATTTTAATTCCCATGGTTAAGCTTTCAATTACAAGGGATCTTCCATGTATTTGATCTCAAGGAGGGAAAGTATGTTGTACCAATGAAGTTTGCTTATTGACATGGTGACTATCAATTCATAAATTATCTTTGTCAGTTTATATGACTGCTTGGAGGTTGTGGAGTGTAAATTCTAGTCTGGCAGATGGAGATTTCCTTTGTGCACTGAAGATTTCTGTGTCTGCAAAGCTAAGTCTAATGTACTGTGGGAAATTCATAAGTATAATGCAAACTTTTCCTGGCAACATGTCAGAATTACTGTAAGTTTTTATCTCAACCAGCTGTAAATCCATTACCTCAAAATAATTATTGCTGTCATGAAAATAATTACAACAGTGTATTCAGTAACACATGACACTTGTAAGTTCAAAACCTCATTCTTTTATCATTATACGACCCAGGGCAAATGACCTAAGCTCTCTGAGTGTTAGCTTCTCCATCTACCAAATGAGAACAGTAAGACTCAAATCCTTATACTGCTCTGTGTGTATATTCTTACAACATGGCAAGTATCCTTATCAAGGTAAGCTTGCTCCAAATCTACCTCAGAGATGTTTTGTGGCAGTGTCTTCTAGGATTTTTACTTCAGGGTATATCTCAGTATTCCACTTCTTAGTCACTGAACATGAAAGAAAAAACACAGTATTTCATAATTAGAAACATGGAGCCTTCTGAGTTTCTCAGGACAAGCCTTAAATATTCTCAAAGTGATTGTGAATTTCACTGTAGTTTTTCCCTTTGTTCAAACTTAATCCAAATTGCCTGCATTCAATATTGAAGTTTTCAAAGAATATTTTTGGAACTTAATTTAAAATGGTTCCTTTACAGTTTTTTCCTAAGAAGTCCAAGACAATGATTAAATCCTGTGTGGAAGGGGAGGTTTGTGGTAGAGAGTGCTGGCTCCAATTCTTGCTTCAAGAACTGGAACCAAGAAAGTGACTGAGGCCACTGCAAGGTGACAATCATTTCAGCCTCACGATTGTTTGCCTTTGACTTCTTTGTTTGTGACAGAGCACACGAGCAAGAACAATTCAGAATGTAATTTGAAAAATTTAAGGATTCTCTCTCTCTCTCTCTCTCTCTCTCTCTCTCTATATATATATATATATATATATATTGAATTCTACTTTGTAGACTGCCCCTTAGCTCACTGATCATTTATTGATATTAATCATACACTGTAGCACAAAATAATATGCCAATTAATCCCTCAAAGCAGAAATCATAGAGCCAAAGTTTTCTGGCCATAATGTATAATGGCTTAGTTATGAATACATATAGAAAATAAAAATTCAAAGAGAAGAATTAAAACTATAACTGCGAGTTATTTGTAGGAAAGTGGATGCACCTTGAGATTATAATGTTAAGTGAAATAGACACACAAAATTAAATATTACATGATTTTTCTTGTATGGGAAACCAAAGGGTTAAATAAAAGGTATGTAATAGAATGTAAAAGATAGCTCTTCTTCCAATATTAAGGGGATCAAGTGATGGAGAGAGGTGGGAGATAGTGGAGGGAAACAGGATTAAAGCAAAAGAGTTAAGATGTGTATGTGCACCAACTTCAATGTAGTAGTAAAAATTAAAATTGAAGAGAATAAATAAAAACTATAATTGAAGAATATTTAGAAATGAGTGAAAATGGGTGTGGTCAAGGCTGGATTCAGAGGAAAATTTATATCTTTAAAATTTTTTATTTCAATAAAAACTTAAATAAAATAAGCACACAATTTTTGAGAAGACGGTAGGAGACAAACAACCAAAAGTTTTATTATATATAGAAAAACAAACGATTGGGTAAGTAAGCTGAAAATCTAAGTCAGTGTAGAAGAATTGCATATGATCCATGGTTGTTCTTCAAAATAATTCTTGAACTTTTCCAAGGTGTATTTTCAAGACTTTAGTATGTCTGAATGTCCACAAAGATATAAAAGATATTCTGTAACTGTTTAAATTTGACAATAGATGATAAAAATCTTGCCACTTTTTCAATTTTAAAAGGGAATTATTAAAATAAATTGTTATGGTCTTGTTAACATTTCAAAGCACAGTTCCAAGTAAAAGTTTGTATCAACCACAATATGATTGAAGACTATTTAAAACTCCTTATTGGAAGCTAAGAAAGAACATGCTCTAAGGGTCAAAAACACCAGGTGTTGTAAAAAAAATGGAGAAAAATGGAAACAGTAGAATCTGAGATTAACACAGAGTGTCATTTACTTTTCAAAATTTTCTGAGTTTTTTTTTAGGTGTTTTGCTTTGTGATAAATCTGTAGGGCACACCTTGCTCACTTTGTTTCCAGGAGATGCTATTTTGGTCAATACTAAACTTTATTCCAAGATTTATACCAGTCTATTCCCTACTGCTTAGCTTTTATTAAAGCTGTCAGAGCACAATAAAACTCCTCTTCTTCCTGAATTTCCATCTTTGAAGTACACAGATTCTCACTTTCTTCTGCTTCCCTAGAGAATTAAATTCAAGCAGATTGTCTTTCATCCTTAATTGTCACTATGAATGTGTCCTCTAGACTTCTCCAGTTCTTCATAAACATCTCAGTGAATAGTAGGAAGACAGGGGCTACATACAATATTAGGGGACTTGAATTTATTAGGTGATCCCATATTAAATGAGAACCCTCTGTTGTAGAGTTTTCTGAAATATGTTCCTGGGAGTGTTGTTCTAGGATAGATGAATCAGTGCTGAGATCCCCTTTTTTGGATATATACCACAAGGATTAGCATATTAAAACTGAGAAGTCCTGAGAGAAGTCAAGTTATTTAAATACAAGTTATTAGTGCACACAATTTACAGCTGTCTTTGCCTTGTTCTAGGCTAAGGTTGGTCAGTGGATTTTCTTCAGCTAGTTACTTAGACCAGATTTTGGATTTCAGAGGTATTTTGGTTTTGTGCATGAATGTATGTGTACATGTGCATGTGTATTTTACATGAGGGTAGCTGCATTAATGATTGATTGTCCATTAATTCTAAGTTTCTTTCTCCGGTAGCAAAGAAGTCTTTTAAAATTATATATATATATATATATATATATATATATATATATATATATAATCTCACTATTGCTTTAAATATTCCACCCAGATATTGAACTCTTCCTCTTAATGGGAATGACTCTGTGTGTATGTGTATATGTGTGTGGGTATGTCAGGTGTGCATTTGGGAAGGAAACATGATTTATGAAATCAGCCCTACTGTGTGGCCATATACATGGGTTCTCTTTGTAGCCCCACTGCCCATAGTAAAGTTACTGAAGACAGCTGCTAGTGATGGGCATGAAGGAAGTTCTTTTCTCCACCTTCTGAGGAATGCTCAATCAGGTCTTTATTCTAAATTTACCATCACAGAAATAGGTCTTTACAGTGTTGGTGATAATGCGTAAGGTGCAGCTATGCTATGGATATGTATCATCTCTTTGTTTCAGGACAGGAAGGAGATGGAGGAAGCTCTAACAGCTCCTTCATGCTATGAAGAATACTTCAGTATTCAGTTTTACTTCTATAACATTTCCCCTTCCTTAGCTCTCCTTTCATCATCTACATTCATCTGTATATCCTGACGTCTTCACTTCATTTGCATTCCAGTCATTTCTTAAGACTTGGAAATTTACGAGAATTTGATAGATCATTGCTATCCTTGTTCTTGTCATTTCTGATGATAGGCAAGAGAAAAAGAAAAGTTCTGGCTTCTATAATCCTTTTGTGTGAGAAGCATCCACAGCAGTCTATCCTACGAAGAGCATTTGGTTTCCCCTTTTTGTTGAATGACTCTAGATCTCCAGAGAACACTAAACCTCTAAAACTTGTAGGATTAATTGCCTACCAACACGATGTTTGAAGGCTTTTGGGCCTCGTATTACAGAAAGGGCACTTTTTCTCCTTTGGTTCAAATACAAAGTTCTCATTCCAGTGACTTGCTTTGGCATGACAAATCTCTCTAAAATTTAGTGACCTAATAAAGCCCTACACACTTATTTTGCATATAAATTTATAACTTGAGTGGGGCTCAGTAGGGACAGCTCATCATTACTTTGTTATAGTGGGACCTTAGCTGCTGAAATATATGGTATCTCCAATGGATCTGTCTTACATGATGGCCTTAGGGTTCTTACATGGTATCTTAGGGTTCCAATAGTGAATATTTCAAGAGATCCAGTCAGAAGATACAGTTATTATTATTATTTTTACCTTGCCTCTGCCTCATGCATGTAATTTTTTCAGTATTTCATTGACTATATAAGGCAAGTTCATTCTGGGAGAGGGTATGCAAAAGCAAAGATATTAGGGAGTAGGCATCAGTGTAGCGCCATCTTTGGGGCTGGATATTATATCCTCCTTCGACTCAAGGGAAACAGATTTTTAAAAATGTGAGTCACACACTACTTTCTAAAAATTTCAATCACCACCAAGAAGAGATCAGAACACATATTATCTCTGCTCCTTCTAGCCACTGTGTTGTCTTTATTAAATGAAAAATTGAATTAGAGGCAAAGAATGTTGGTATTTAGCATACAATTTTATAAAAAGGCAGTCATGTTATCTACATGGGCTGTCAAACAATCCATCTTGACTTTGTACGTCTGCTTGTGTGTGTTGCACCCGATAGGGAGGAAATTCTGGATGTCGGTTTTACAATGATAGTAAGGCATCTGAACCGCTGTGAAGCCAGCAGCTACTACATCTTAGCCCCTAACTGCATGCTGAGTAGTGACAAAAGAAATAAATGAAGACTAATGATGCTTTGGTTGGGAAATAATGTTTACATGCACAGGATGCATCCACTTAAGTCTTTTAAAAATGATTGTTCTAATGATTTTATTGCTTTGTAACAAAATAAATCAAACTGACAATGATTTCAAGATCTCTGAGAATTGAAGTTTAAACATAGTCATGACTACTAGGATGCAAGTTTGAATGCAAGAAACAGGCTTGAGGAGGAAGGCATCACAGTATATTGTATTCTTGTAAACATCAGTACAGGTACAGGGTAATAGAGATTTCTCTAGATGATGCTAAGTAGACCCCATGTTTCCTACTTTAAAAAGATGAAACATTAAGGATTCTGTTCCTTTTTACCAGAGTATAATATACTGCCAGAGTATAATATACTGCCCTAAAGAAGAATGGGTTCCAATGTGGCTACATTTCTTCTAGGATGCTGCTGTTGGTTACCCTCCATGTTTCTGGTTCCCTAAAGCATGGGCTAACCCTCCAAAATACAGTCCTACAGGATGGCATGAGGGAGAATGCCATTCCCAATTGGGAAGATACGAGAATGGAGACTTTGCCACACTCCCTTTGCCAGCTCCATCTCCTTCAGGAGAAGTTTTTATATCCATAAATAAGGGTTCTTTATACCTTCTTACCCTACTTCCCCTCCCTGCTTATACTTATGCCCAGATCCTGCTACGTTACCTCTATTGTTAACCAACCAGGCATGAACTGTTTGCAGTTTTGGGGCAGGTCAGACATTGGCAGTTGGTGCCAAGTCAATTGAGCCTTTGCATTTAGTACATGTTACTGGGACTTACTTGCAGGACTCAAAAGAAATGAAGAACAATCAATAAAGCACAAAGTAAGTAGGGCCTGGAAATGAGCCCTGGACAGCAGAGCTGGCAAGGAGGCCTTCTGATTCACTGCAGAGAGAATGCTTGGATTCTGTGTTGTGATGATTGGCTAATACTAGGGACAAATGTCTAGAACCAGAATGACCCTTGGCTAGACAGATCTGAACCCACCACTGGGGCCACATCACACATTGGAGCAGATGCCAGTGGTCTGACAGCACACAAACAGGGGCAAAGTTTAATCCTGGAGGCAGCTGTGGCTGCCAGACCTGCTGCTACCACTGGATTTTCCCCTAGCTCGGGCAGCTAGCTGCCTCTCAGCTTGCTCCCCACTTTGGGCAGCCTGAATATGTTGTAGGATGGGCCCTCTGATTTGTGGCTGCTACTTCACAATCGCAAGTCTTCGAGTCCATCTCTCTGTCTCCTGGGGGTCCCGGTCAGTACAGCAGCTTGTCTGGGGGGACACAGCGAGATGAGCAGACAGCATCACAGCAGAGTTTGCCTACTGCACAAGGAGGAGGGATCAGACATTTTCCAGGACATCAACGGGAACAAGGCCTCTCTTCTTCCCACTTAGGACTTGGATAAAACCGTTTTGTTCTTCTTCAGAAGTTACACAGATCTGAAGACCAAGGGACAAAAATCAACATACTTTAGTGTCAACAGGAAAGTTAGAACCTGCAACTTAAATGACTGTTCACTGTGGTCACGGGAGCACCAAAGGGGAAAAAGGAGAGAAGCTTTAGCCTGGATAGTTGTGGCACTGTGAAAACAAATTTTGATTAAAAATATTAGGTGCAATCTAGGGTTTTGGGCTACCCCAGGCATTGAATGTTTTCTAGGCTTCAACTTTTCGCTTGAGGATTAGTGAAATGGAATTAACAACACTGCTCCCCTAATGAGTCACTGTGAGACAGAGTAAGAGCCTCACATGCAGCATAAAAGTGTTGAACACATTATTTTAAAGAACTACAATCATAGCTCTCATTTAGCAGGCTCCTGCCATGGGTGTAGAATTTTTTTTTAATGTGCCATATATAATATCAGGGAATCAAAAGGAACTCTTTCTAGCTCCAAGCCTACAGATACTAACATCTTCCGTTTGGAATCACTTGCCACTCACCGCTTCCATGTCAATTAAGTACATGTAAATGAGAAGCCTTGTGGAGAAATGTCAGTGTGCTGAGCGTTTCTTATACTTGATCTGCTTCCACAGGTGAACTATCTTAGAGAAAGGGATCTAACAAGGATGCAGATTTAGATACAAGCCCAGCCTGACCACAGAGCAGCTCTGGGCATGGATTTCACCACAATGTTGTTTCACTTTGAAGCAAAGGTGTGGCCTTTTGGGCCCTAGACACTCTTTGGTTACTGGCTGATTGCCACATAAAATGCATAGCCTTTCAGCTGAGGCAGCTTTGGCTCTGTTAAGAAGCAAACATTTATGAGTAGTTAGTAGCTGATAAATACAGCAAGCTTGGAGGTGGTTAGGGCCATCTGCCTTCCCTGATTTGTGGTTCTTTCTTCCCTCTTTAAATCCAGTAATGATGTATTGAGTTCTGTTCAAACTTTATCTTTCTGACTTACCTTTGTGCTTCATCCCTCTTCTGTCCCCTTCTGTTGCATCCCTCTGCTTGAGCCAGACATATGTATATCCTTATAGAGGTGGAATAGTTAGATCTGGCCTACCTAGGCGGTCTAGGATAGCTGCCATCTCAATGTGCATAACTACTCACATCTGCAAAGTCCTTTTTGAATGAAATCTGGATCATTGCTGCTGGTACAAATCACCATCCATTTGGCAGCTTAAAACAACACAAATTTAATATCTCACTCATAGTTCTAAAGTCACACTTTTAAAGTCCTAAAACTGGGACATCAGTAGAGTTGTATTTCTTCTATAGGCTTTCAGAGAGAGTGTACATTCCTTGTCTTCTAAGCTTCTGGAGTCTAGTTACTCTGCTTGGCTCTTGGCCTTCTCCTTCTCATTTATCCAACTTTCACTACTCATTACCACATCTTTTTTTCTGATTCTATAAAAATCTTTGAGATTAGGCTGAGCTCACCCATATAATTCAGCGTAATCTCCCCACTGCAAGACCTTATTTTAAGCATATCTACTAACTTCCTTTTGCCATAAAAGATAAAATGTTCAATATTTTAGGGATCAGGACAGCTTTGAGATGTTGTTATTACTATTAATCTATTTAATGCAAGATGACAGCATTAGCAGTATTTTAGGAAACAGGCATGTACATCTGAAAACACAACATTCTTATATGTAGTAAGTTGAAGGAAGACATGTATTTGATGCTGTAAGAAAAGGACATCTTAAGATACAAAGTTGGTGTAATGAAATGCAAAGAAATATGCTGCAGAGGAAGAAGGGCTGAGAAGAAAAGATTACCAAGAAATAAAGACTGTATTAAAATTTACGTTAGAAGCAATGAAAGATGAACTGAAACTTCAGAAAGTGAAAATGAAATGAGGACTATCCTGAAATATTCTCTTAGGAGGAAGAAGACAGAGATAAAGAAGTGGATAATGACAAATATACTAAAAACTATAAGGAAAACGTGCTAAAACAAAGATGATCCAGCCAAAGAATTTTTAAGCTTCTGGGGAAGAAGTATTAAGATCAAAATATACATGATAAATGAGAAAAACATTGGCCACATGGGATAGATTAGGTGTAAATATTTTTATAAGAAAATAGTGTATTTTAATAGTATAAGAAAATGGGCAAAGTACATGAGGAAATTATACCAGTGCTTGATAGATATACGATAAAAGTTCAAACTTTTTTTTGTTCTGAGAATGGAACTTAGAACCTCACCTTTGCCAGACAGGTGCTGCACCACTGAGCTAAATTCCCACCCCTAAAACTTCAAACTCTTTTCCAGGAAATTCAGAATAGCCTAAACTATTATTCATCTGTCAGAATGACGGATAGCAAATTCACTTCTGGCAAGAATGTGGTGACCTGACTAGTTCTGTAAATAGTTGATGAGGCATAAACTGACACAATCTTTTTGGAGGCAAAATGACATTGTATATAAAGGACTGTAAAATATTTTTTATCTGTTTTTCTTTAAATTCTAACATATATTCTGAAAAACTATCAAAGTTGGTGAGAGGGACTTAAAGATGGTAGTTGCTGTTATCAATAGTAGTTTAAAAAAATAAAAACTCTGAGCATCCAGCAAGTGGGGTTACTTAAACACATTTTTGCACATCTAGACTAGGGATTCATCAGCTACTTTTTTAGGGAATCAAATCGTAAATATTTTGGGATATTTGAGACCAAGAGGTTCCTGTTAGATTTATTCAGGTTAGATGTAACAGGATACTTTGCAGCTAAATTCTGATAAAACTTTCATTTAATCAATTTGACAATGGACCATAGTTTGCTACCTTTGATCTGTATGCAGTTAAAAATTGTGTTTTGATGAGCAAATAATGACTACTTTTAAAGAGCTGGGAGGCTGGGGCTGGGGATTTTAGCTCAGCGGCATAAGCGCCTGCCTCGGTACTGATAAAAAGGAAAAAGACAATAAAAGGAAAAAAAAGAGCTGGGAGGCTAAATTATGAATTAAAATGATAGTTTGGTATGAAATATGCCAGTGTTTATTTCAATATTGCTGGTTGAGTTATTAGTGATCGTAATTTTTTTCTATCTTTATAAAATGTTGTTTTCTGAATTTTTCCATTATAAATGCATTTTAGTTCTAGTACGTAAAAAATCATTTATCTGTTTTTTAAAAGTTTTAATGCAACACAAATGACCAATTGAAATAGTTTTATAGGTATGATCAAATTATGGATGAATTTAAAGTAACGGTTTTATTGTATTTACAAGTTATTTAACTAGAAAATTTTAAGTTTTAGAGAATGAAGAAAGTACACCCTGCGTCAGTGCAAACTCTGTGTCGTAACAAATGGATAACTTAATTCTATTTGGAAACAAGATCACAAAAAAATATAATAATTATGAGACAGATTAACCCCAGAGGCAGAAATATGATTTAATGAAAAAGATGCATTGTGTTTACTTTCAGAATCAAATTTCTTCTATTTCCCTGCTAATGATCATTTGTCTCTTTTTATTTTTAGAATTATAAACATCAGAGTGGCTATTTTCTGGTTCTTACTAGGCAGTTTTAAGTATGTATAACTGTTGCAGATGAATTTCCCCCGGGTTTTACTCTGAGGGATGATGGTGGTAAGAGAGATGACCTGTGTTTGGGCCCTGTGATGTCCAGGCACTGTGGTGGGGCTTTATACAGTGACACCAGGTAACTCGCACAACCGCAGCCAGAGAGAGATGCTACTAAGCTAACTGTACAGATAAGAATGTTGATATTCAGGGGTGATTTTGTCCAAATCACATGGGATACAAGTCCATATTTGTGCAATATTGGAATCTGTGTTCTTTCTTGTACATTATGTTTCTCCCCCCGGCCCCCTCTCCCCAAAAGCACCTTTTCAAATCTTCCACCTAAAATAATTTAGGATACTAAAGTGGAGGTAAATTTTGACATTTGTTGTTTATAAAAAAATCTTAAAATGTGAGATTTTTAGCAAGTAGCTGATGCATTGTAAAAGCTAGTTGCCCCAGAAATGATAAAGATTGAAAACAGAGAATTTGTATAAGGGTGGAGACCTCAGTACCTTTTGTTTCTCACATCTGGTTGGATGCGACTCCTCTATTAAATGTCTAAAAATGCTTTTAGTCACCAAAGGACAATTATTTAACTTATGTGAGATGATAAAAATAAAGATGATTTTCAAACTTTAGCTTTCATTAGAATATTTGGGATTTGTAAAATGGACTGATTCTTGCCTTTAGTAGAGAAGTCCTGACTTAGCAGATCTGGGAATCTGCATTTTTAAACAAATTATTCTAATCTCTAGATGAGTTTGATTTTGGACTCAAAAATCATAACTTAAGAAACACCAGGCTGCATAAATCATCGAGGATTGTGAAGTTTTCCAAAAGATACGTGCAGATCAATTTGGTTCCAAGCTTACGTGGGCATGTTACGTTGTATCTCAAACGCATCTCATTGAAGAGGATGAATTGTTCCCCTCACTTCTTCCCACTCCAATACCCAATAGATTGTCAGCTCAACCATGGGAGAATGTAGTATGTGGAGAACGCAGATGTGAGGCCCACACTCAGAAAATTGTTTTGAGGCATATGCCAAGGAATTGATAGGAACTACTGAGCAGATGTTCTCCTTCTGGAAACTGATCAACTTGAGCAAATTTTAATTTGCCTTCTGATTTCACTGATTTGTATTTTAATAACATAAAAAACAATGCTTCATCTCAAATCAGGAAGCACAAGATTATTCTGGGAAAAAATCAAATGGGCTAGCAAGATAATTTAGTAACATTTACCAGTAAAGATGAATATACTTCACGAATTTATTTTAATCAAAAAACTTTACAAATCTTTGAAACAGAAAAAGACACAGTTGGGTAAACTTGCAGACGTTTGAAGAGTTGGCATGAAATCAAGCTGAGCAAAGTGTCCACCTGCTTTATGGGGTATGTCTGGCATCGGAGATGGGGTCTCAGTCTCAGGATGGTGCTTTCATTGCCTAAAACAGAGAATGACTCAATAGGGAGCCCCTAGGAAGAAGAATGTGCTTTCAAGGCGTCTTCTGTTCCCCAAACTTTGCCTTTATGATGTATGCTTACAGCCAAGCTGTATAAATGGCCTTTTATTGTTAATAAGTTCTTCACTTTGTTTGGTGCACCTGGCTTAGTGGAGGGCAGTGACTTGGAATGCGCAGACCTGTATTTAAGTTCTAGTCTTGTCACTTAACCAGGTCCTTGCTCCTTCAGCAAGGCACATAACCTCAACAAACCTGTACTATCCCTCCTATAACAGAAAAACAATGAGTAATAAATCCAAAAAGTGATTGGCATGTGCGACATCAAAGAAAATATTGTAGGTATATGAGATTAACAAACACCATATAATTTGCATGTATGACATAAATGAGTAGTAAAGATGATATGCAATGTTTATCAATGAGACAATGTCTAGAGGAGTATTAATTTGTTCTTTTCATTTTTTGTGAATCAAGATTTAGAGAAACAAGTAGCAGGTCCAAGACAGATCATCATAATCCAAAAAGAATATGCTGAAGAGATATTGAGATATTCTGCAGGAGGCAGAGTGGTTCAAGTAACCTGCCAGTTATGTGGAGATAGATGTGCGACTGTTGAGAGGTCCCTCAGAGACACAGCTCTAGAAAGGCAGATAACACCTCTTGCTGTTACCTCACTGAGAAGTGTGAAGGGAGGTGGCATTCTGGGTTAACATCAGCTCCATGGAGAACAAACAACTTTGGGCAGAAAATCATTCCAGCACATCAGAGCTTTTGATCTTTTTAAACATACAGAGTCTGTAAAAAAATGAATATACACAGGAAAAAACTTGGAAAATATTTTAATACTAAATTTACTGAGACATCTTGAGATTAATATAAGTTACCTTTGGCCTCTAAAATTACAAGTGCTGAAAGCAGTGGCCATCTGTTGAAAAAACACAATTTTTCTTTTCCTGAAGTGTGTATACATTTTTTTGTGAACTCTGTATATTATGTCCAAAGCGGCCAGTTAGAAGACAGTTGTATAAATTCATAAAATTCAGTGTGTCCTAAAGTAGATATATAATATAAGCAATTTTTATAAAGGAAAAAATTCCAATTACAAGTAGAACTATAAATTAGGGTGAAACCATAGAGCCCGGTGACCCAGTTTCTTAGGACAGTAGAGATTTGAATAGCAAAATCATTAGCTGAAATACATCTCTGGGGGTATTTGCATGAAGAGCAGCTACTGTAATTGGAGGGAAATAGTGATATGTATTTGCTCATGCATGCATCTGAGCATGCTCAGATAGATCAAGCAGCACGTGTACCTTGATATTATTAGATTCCAAAGATCAAAATTGTTTTCTTTTTAAGTGTAGTTTTGGTAAATTTATAGTATAAAAGTAATTTAAATAGAAAAGAAAAAACTCTTTTTCCTTAAATTTGCATTAATTTTCACTACTTTTATATCAGTATTTAACTTTATGTTACTGTCCTCAGTTTATAAAACCATCATTTAAGATGATGATACAATATTTGAAGATTTTTTCTTCCTCCTGGATCTCTCTTCACTTCCAAATCAGTAGATCTGATTTGGCCGCCTGTAACAGAGGTTTCTCATTGTCTGGAAAGCTTCCTCCTTTCTTCTGATATGCCGCCTGGGAAGGCACTAGGCTGTCTTGTTCCCTATGTAGTATTGCTGCACTCCCTTCTTATCCTCTGTTCACCACGTGCCACTGGTGTCATAGGATCCAGAGTCTCAGTCCAGCCTGTGGTGGCAGCAATGATGAGAGGAAGGTGACCAGGGTGTGCAGTAAGGAGGCCTTTTATATTCTCCATAGCACTGGCACTCTATCTGCCTCCCTCTGGCTCCAAGAATAAAACCAAGACTTCAGGCTCCATCTGTATCTGCGTCTTTCTTTGTGTTCACCCTGGGAGAACAGTGACCGAGATCCGGGGTCCCGCATTCTGTCCACAACATTATCATCATGCCATCAAAAATGCTTTGGTTCCTGACTTTGTGCCCAAAAAGGAAGAATTTTTATTGACTTAATCTATTCTCAATGTTGTTTGATTGTTCCTAATTTTTACCAGGATGAACAGTATACTGAAAACCGTCTTTTTGCACAATGATTTCTTCTTGTATTAGATTATTTTCTTGGGTACATTACAGAAAGTGGAATTATTACATTCATGAAGTTGAGCAATTTTGTGGCTCTTAATGCACGGTATGAAGTCATTACTCAAAACGAGTGGACGGATGTATGCTAGCTTTTATGAAAAAGCCAAATTGCTTTCACTCCATCCTCCATCTTTCTTAAAATATATATGGAGAATAATACTCAAAATTATTGGTCTCTTATTTTAACTTTTCTTATTTTCTTATTCAACTTTTATTTACTTGAATATACTAGGCGTGGGAATAAATTTTTAAAAGCTATTTCTTCACATTATAATTTTAAAAATTCTTTTGAATAGCTATAAAGGAATATTAAATCATTATTTTTTCAGTGTTATTTATTAGTCATTTGGAGCCATAGGTGGGATACAAAATAGTTGGTTAAGTTGGTTAAAACAATTTTTTAGACTATAAATCTGTATATTCATAAAGCAATGACTGATTTTTGAGTGTATGACTTAGAAATAATTTTGAAGGTACTTCAAAGAAAGATACTCAAGACGTGTTTGAGCAACTCTATTGAGCAAAGTTGTACTACAATTATTAATGCATTTTTATTTTTGTATTTTTTGTAAGGAAAGCTTCATAATTTTTGGTTAGAGGCATTCATTGCCTTGGAAAAATGTTAGAATTATTGTACCAAAAGAATTCAGATTGAGAGGCAAGCTTTTGAATTCCAAAATTAGAAACTGAAACCCAGTGTGACTATATTGGGAGAGAAAAGAAATTCTAATTTCTAACGTCACAAATCCTCTTCTAATATATCCAGAACAAACTTGGAGTTTGATCAGATTATATTACCTTGTAGTAAGAATGCAGAATTATGACATGAGAGGAGTTGCAGATAACAAAGGATGGAAAGAAGCCTTCTGGTGGAAGAAGACAAAGAGAAAAAAAGAGAAAGATTTAGATTATGATCATCTTTGTTTCTTCGTGCCTATTACCAACACTGGGAACAGATAGGGAAGACAAGTTTGAGGACAAATAGATGCAGAGGGTTCAGGAAAAGTAACATCATAAAGGTCTCTAAACCCTGGCACTGGAGCAAGATGGTGCGAGACACCTCTAGATTAGATGTAGGGAAATGTCTAACACGTGTGCCTAACCAGATAGTCTTTGCTCATCTGTATTCTCTGTCTTATGCCATGGTGTGATGTTCTGATCTTCAGGAAGCAGGTAGAAGCTTAGAATATGGACAAGGAAACCTAAAAGGAATCCTTGTGATTGGCACCAAATATATAATGAACCCTGGAACGCAATAGCAAGTAACACCAAGATGTTCCTAAGCGACAGTGGAGGCACATTGCTGGGCACAAGCACAGAGTCCAACTTAGCTGCTCACATCAGTGATCAGTGATCTTTGGTGAAAAGGACAGGGACTAGATATTCTCAACCTGTCAACACAAAGTAAGCACATTTCCTCTTATGAACAGTCATCACCAAATGAAGTTCCTAACATTTGGTTTTACATGTTTAGATTCTCACTACACTAATATGGTTTGGAATAAAAATACCTTTTCCCAACTAAATACACTGTAACGTCAATCATCCCAATTTCTGAGAACTGTGGCCGGTTTTTGGGTTCCACCTGGCATGTTTTTGTGTGCTGTACTCACCTGATTCTCTTTCAGTGTTATCTGCCCCTGCTCCTTACACCCAGTGAAGGTTCTAACACATCGAAAAATCTTCTCATTTTGTTGTACTCTCTGAACAAAGTTGGCTGGAAAGAAGCCAATTCTGTCTTGAATTTTTCCCTGTAAGGACATAGGAAGTATTCATTTGCAATTGTACCACTTATGGTAATAACCAATATTTTCTTTTTACTAAATAATCATTTATTTTTAAAGGAGGAAAAATACTTACTTTCCACCAGTCTTCATTGGAATCCTCTAGAAGAGTAATTATGTCTCCTGGACTAAAATGAAGAATGCATATTGGGTGGGTGGGTAAGTGAAAAAAGAAAAAAATAAGTATATGATACTTTAAGGATAAAAGTAATATTTTTTCATTCTTGCAAGCAATCTTAAAATGCACAGAAATAAAACAAACATGACTTACAATTTTTCCCATGCATTTGCTGTTATATTTTTTAAAAAAATCCTTAAAATGATACACAGAAAATCATATTTACATTGCAAAAAACACTCCAACATTTACAAATTGATCAATTTTAAATTGTAAGCTCCCCTTTGTATGTGCCTCCCATGTCCTGTGTGGCCTTCCAGATTCTTTCCTATACACTCACTTTTGTATGTAGATATGTGTATTTTGTTTTTCTTTAGCATCGACATATAGAATCTGTCATCTTTATAATTATCTGCATCTTCTCATTGCCTTTTTGGAGCATCACATACTTGTGCTTACCTCCACTTTCTGTGTTGGCATGATTTGGAATTTTATTTGTGTAGGTGTATTTACATCACTCCCCAAGAATTATTTGGGCTTAGCTCTTCAGTTAAGATTGTAAGTGTTTCTGTCAGTGTTACCTTTTAGATGTGCTTGTTATTTGCTACTTTTGGTTTTATTTTCCACAATCCAGGTGTGTATGTGTGTGTGTGCACACACGCATGTGTGCATTTTCACGCTTTAATTCTGTTAACTCCTCACTTACTTATTGGAGCTTTTACAATGCGAAGGCTCTTACTTTTCACCATGAAAAAAAGTCTCTGCGATATGTTTCTCTGTTTCTCTCTTCTACCACTCTCTTCTTTCAAGAACTTCTAATTAACGCAAGTTGCACCTTCTGAATCCATTCTCCACAGCTTTTGTCTTTCTTATTTATTTTTCATCTATTTTCTTTCTCTACATGAACATTCTCAAATTTATTTTTATAATCATGTATTGTGCCTGAAATAATCTCTTCTATGATAATACGATAATCTATGATAATCTCTTCTATCATAATATTGAGGTTTTTTTAAAAAAAAGAAAACAGTTCAGTGAAGCTAAGGAAAATTTATTAATTTTCAAGAGTTTCAAAGGTTCTTTATTATTTTCTGAAAATTTGCTCTTATTTAATTTCTGAAATATTTCTGAAAGTTACTTTGATGATATTAACAATTTAATTTTTAAAATTATCTTTCCCTTATTGAATTGTTTAGGATTGGTTTGTTTGTTTTTTATCTTACTGCTTCTCCTTTATCTCAAAGAGTTTTCTTGGACACCTGGCATTTCTGTCTCCTTATATTAATGACTGAAAGACTGCCAGGTGGATGTGGCCAGCTGTTCAGCGTTCTCTGTCTTGCACACCTCTGCCGTGCCCTGGCTTTCTCTACCATGTGCGAGGGCTCTTTGCAGGTTATGCTTAAAGGAGCAGAGCATGTCAATCAAAGCATCTAATCTTTGTATATCTGAAAATATAGTAGACAAACAGTCTGGGGCCTCTTCTATTCACTATCTCAGTGGTGAAATACAGAGGACTTCCTTCATCTTGGTGAGAGAGTTTAGTTTATTTTCCTCTAAGTAGAGTTGCCTTTTCTTTTTTCCCTTCCCTTTAGAGTATCTGGAGGTCAGAGTTTTCTCAACACAATTCATTCTTCTTTCTGAGGCAGTGGTGCCCACATGAGTGCCTCCTTAAGCGTGGGTTTCCTTTCTTAGACAAGAGGCCTAAGGATTTGTAAAACTCAGAGGAGGTGCACTGTAGCTTCTGTCTTATTTTACTGGCCAGTGCAAATCAGGAAGTCAGTCTAGACACAAGGGGTGGGGTAAGGGTGTCTTCCTCTCTGTGAGAGTAGCTTCAGTCTCATAGAAAAGGACATCAAAGTAGGCAGGAAATGCATGAGGGCCAGCAGTGCCATCAGCCCTCTGCAGACCCCATGCTCGTCCATGAACTTGCTCAGTGTCTCGCGAATTGCTTCTACTTCGAAAGCTGTTCTTTTACTTTTTTGATTTTGTTTTGAGCATTCTTTGGTTTCTGGTCCTCTTCATTGTTCTCAAGCTAATTGTATTTTCTGTGGCCTTCCAGGAAATTCCAAAGATTTCTGGTTGTATCATGGAATTTTTCTTTTTTCTAGTACTGCTATGGAAGTAATTCTTGAGAAAGATATTTTTGGATATTCTTAGGAATTGGGGCAAGAGAAGAAACAGATTTGTGTGCTCATTTTGGTATTCTGATTCAATCTCCTCTGCCATCATTTTCAATTTTCAGTTAATATCTATTTTTATTGGGGATTACAGTATAACAGAGCTGTACCACCTGAAGCATTAAACACAACTGGCATTTTGATATTTCAACAGTCACAGTTATGTGCTGATGCTTCAGAAAGTGAGATGGCTGAAAATCACTCTTTCCAAGTGAGGGATTTAATTAAGCAGCAAGGATGAAATTCTGTAACATAATCTTCTAAGCTGAAGCAGATTTTACTTAACCCAATAACCTAAGAAACCATGTGTCAGTAACAAATACAATACAATACCTCTGCTGATTTGGTAGGAATTGTAAAGCTGGGCATCAAGCTGAAGACTTGGGGAGGTATTTTCTTAAAGCTGAAGGAAGATGCTCCCTGAATCTGACCTCTATTTTTATAGTCTAGTTAGAAAGTCACTCTTTATTGTGCCCAGAAGTGGAAAGTCCCCAAATACAGGTCCCATGTTAATTAAAGTACATATTACAATATATACTCACTGAAATAAAAACTGTAATTTTAAATACCAGACATAGAGCTAAGAATGTGACAAAGATTCTTTCTTTTCCTATAAAAACAAAACTTTCAGGATTAGAAAATGGCATGGTGAATGAGGAGAGTTAAATTCATCCATTTGTTCTTTATTTCTTGTTTACCCACTTATGAAAAAACATATTTACAGAATGTGGATTCTGCAATAGCCATTTTCCTAGGCACTGGGTATACTTTGGTGAACATAATCTTCTCTGAAACCAATATTCTAGTGAGAAAGATGGATAATAAGCAGGTAAAAAGATAATAAGACATCTTATAAGTGTATGATAACAAATGTAATATACTGCATATTAATAATCAATAAACATGTAATTGCAAATTGTCTTATAGGCTTATAGGAAATAATTAGTATGTAGCCAAAAAGAGTAAGAATAGTCTCCTTGAGAGATTACTGAAATAGTTTAAGCATCAGACAGAGACAGTTAATGCCTTTTTCAGTGTAAGGAGGATTTTTCTCTAGGGTAGTACTTGAATCCAAGACAACAATTGTAAAACACCTGTGGCATGTGAGGTTTGTACACACTGTACTCATTCAAACACTACCCTTTAGTCTCAGCATTCTTTCCCATGGGGGTTGCTTTCAGATCTAGAGCTCTTTTCCACACTGGGCTCTAAGTGGTACATACAGCATACAAGATAAAAGCAGTCTACGATATAGTTTTTTTTTTTTTTTAATATGATGACCAGTTTTGAGGCCCAGATTAGTCAATTCCACTTCTTAAGTTTATACATCCAGCAACTTTCCTTCTTAGGGCTTGACCATTCTGAATCACTATGTATCTGTTTTAATCACTCATTCTGGATCCAGGTATCAGAAATTGAGGGACAGTCCTTATGCTCTAGAGTTTGTGAAATTATTTAAATTATCCAACGTGTAGGGAACCTTACCAAACTCTATGGGTAGCCATATATAAACTGCCCCTGTAGTTCCAGTTTCCTGATATCCTGACTTTTAGCCACAAGCAGCTGTATGGTCCTTCCTGGCAGCCCTTCACACATAACAATCAGCTGTTGCAACACTTTCTGTTATGGTTTAGGTTGAGATGTACCCCCAAACTCTCAAGTAGTCATAGGAGTTTTTCTTTAGAGGTGGCTGAATCTAGAGTGGGGTGATTGATTCATGGTTTAATGCTGGGATTAAGGGCGTTGGAATTAGGGATAGGTGATTGCTGGATTAGCCCACTAACTGGATTGGCACCACTCTAGTCCCAATAGATTGGACACAATTTAAGAGACAGAAAGAGGTTTGTCTTGCTCTGTCTTGTTGCTTTTGTTTTATTTTGATGCCATGAACTTTTGTCTCCATGCTATATACCACCCTGTCTTGGAGCCAACCAAAGGACTGCAACCTCTATACACTGTGAGTTAAATAAGCCATTCCCCCTTTAACTTTGGATATTAGGTATTTTGCCTCAGCAGTGAGAAAAAGTAACTTATTACCTTCTCAACTTACTTCTTTTCTCCTATCATGGTATTGGCATATTGAATTTTGCTATTAAAGAATTAAATTAAAACGTGCCAAGCAGTTCTACATAGAAACTTTGACACTGGCCCAAGAGGGAAGGAGGCCTATGGTTATAATTCTTCTTCTCCTGGTTGTTCTCAAGATGGACAATGCATGATTCTGCCTGCAGCTGTTTCACAACTGGAAGTGACAGCCCCATTTCTATGGAATAATTCTTTATTGATTTTGTCAAATTTAAAACATTATCTAAATTATCCCACTCTGGCCTAACAGTCTCTTTCTTTCAGGTGACTTTACATTTCTGATCCATGTAGTGTGGATTCTATAATTTATTTCTAAGTTTTAGAGACCCATGTGATGAGATTCCAGACAATTAAAAATATTCCTTTTGCTTAACTAAGACAATTTTAAAATTCAAGCAAAAATTCTATTTGCATTGTATCAAAATACAAAGTATAATGCAACTGCTAACAATAAAAACACCAGTATCTTATTTGGTAAAGACAGGTCAGAGTGCTACAGCTGGCCTTTCCTTTTGTTTGTTCAGTAAAATCTGTCCCGAGGAAGACTTGCAGGTTAGCTCTTCCATGACTGATGGAAATGTTTGAAATGGTGAAGGTGCTATGGACAGGCAATGAGAATAGAAATAAAATAACTAAAGGTAACTATAGAATTATAGCTTACTGGTGAGGAACACAGGATTTATTTGTGAGCATATAAGTGACTGTGTCCATGTACATGTGAGATTTATGGTTGTTACCTGGGTTGCTG